TTTTTGTTGTTACTGGGACGGCATTGTCCATAATTCCCTGTATTTCCTGTGTAGATAGCTCACCGAATGTGCTTTTTTTCATCCATTTTTTTTGTCGACAAAACTTCGCTTCACGCGAAAAAGCTCATGCCGAGCGACATTTGCCGCTTTCATTTCCATATAAGGTCAAACACAGGTATAATGGCTGGTAACCGAGATCCAGTGAACCAATCAGAAAGCTAGAATTGCATTATCCGAGGATGAGAATTTAATAAAATGGAATATCCCACGAGTCACTTGTATTTCCTCGGTATACCACTCGCCTGAAAGCGCGTGTATATACCGAGAAGAAACAAGTAACAAGTGGGATATTTTATGATATACCACGAGAGAGCGTTGCATAGCTATTTTATACCGTGCCGTAGAAAATACAGTAGCCAACACAATTAATGCGACATACGCGCAACGCGTGATCATGTGGGAAGGTTGGATGTAATACCGTCGAGCATACAACGGCTTTCCTGTAGTCTGATTGGCTGTGTTCTCTCTGGCATAGTATAAATTTCGCTGGAAGCCGTCATAATTTATCATGTTAAAGTAAGGATTACTCATTTTAAAAAACATATAGCTACCCTCTTTCATCAATCCGCAACGCTTTTCACTTAGAATAAAACAACGGGATTATCTAACCACTACAAAACACGTGGTTTCATGCCATAAGAAAGTTGCTAATCGCGAAGTTATCGACTCTGTTTTTGTGATTTGCTCTCAAGTGATCAAAGCCCGGATGGAGTCTGAGGTCATGAGAAATGGTTTGCCTCGATTACGACTTCGCATAGCGCGCACGTACAAGCAGGGTAAAGTGAAGATCAACAACAAAAACCAGCTAATGGAAAAAAGAGGCCAGGAAATCACGTGCAGCTGTAGTAACCTAAAGGTCAATAAAGTCTACTTGATCTTGGGTAAAGAGGACAAAAGAAAACGTGTGCTGTTTCTGGACAACTTTTCGACAGCACTGGAGTGGAACAAGAATGGAAAGTCGTACGTAAAAACATTCAGGAATAGAAGCTCTTGTCCTGAGAGAAAAATGCCTTAGATCAATAGGAAAAGAAACTTTTACGGACTCTAGAAATGTTTACACACTTTAGACAGACTAAGTCGTTATTTAGGAACTGTTCCATAAAAGTAAAAGATCTGTTTTCATTGTCCAGTTGATATAGGAACTAAGTTAAACGTAAGGTTTAGTAAGAGCATTTTCAACGATAACACACGTGAGTTCATCATGATGTTGTATGACTATTTTTGACCAAGGTATCCATAAGGTTATTGACAATGTCATTTTAATTTAATGGCTATAATAGTCTCACGATCCCTGAGCACCACCATAAACTTAACTCCAGTTGAGCAATTATGGTTAGTGCAAGTGATAAAGTCGATGTAAGTTCCCCTTTTAGATTTTTTAGATGTGTCTTTAATATAGAGAGTAACTGAGAGTTGGTATTCTTAAAATAAACACTTACGCATGCCATCAGAGATCTAAAATAAAAAAATATATATGTAAATAAATTACAATGTTTAGAGAGGAAGCCACATCAGCTTTAGCTGGTTTTCATGCGGGTCCCCTATGCTGGTCGAATTGGAATTTGCAGTGTTGGTTTTTGCGAAGGGAGGAAAACCGGAAAACCCGGAGAAAAATCCTCGGAGCAAGGCGAAAACCGACGACCAACTCAATCCACATACGGCATCGGGCCGTAATCGAACCCGGCCAAATTGGTGGGAAGCGCGGAACGCTCTTACCACTGCGCCATCCCGTTAAGAATTGAACGACCCACCCCTTACCAAGGGCTCAAATACTGATGACCCACCCCCTCTCTGCTCCGGCCCACCCCAAATACTTTTTGACCAGTCCCTAAGCATCCTTCAAAGAGGGTTTCTTTTACAAGCTTGTGGGGTACGTGTTTCATTTCGCCTAAGGATAAGGTCTTGAGTCATTTTTCTCTAGAATTAGAGTTCAACAGCGCGTGTTTTGTGGTCTCAGTATTGCAATGCCAGCTGCATCGTTGAGGCCTGCTTGCAGCGCATCGCTGTAGTTGTATTCATTGTAAGTTCAGGATGAGGAATCTTATTTGGAAGTTCATTCTACAGGCAAAGCAGTTTTATCCATTCTCTTTGCAGTCTTGCACCTGAAATCAGATACTTCGTCTACAGATCAGAAAATGTCTATCGAGATAGGCCAGGTGAAGGCTACATTGAATGCAGCCACAATGCTTCACTGTGCGTGCGCTTCAGGCAGGGAAGTTGGCTTTGTGTCAAGTTAAAGTCGTAAGAATTTTTAATCCGTTAACATTTGGAAATTTTAAGCTACTCTCAAACAGCTCTACCAAAAATTTCGCGAAGTATCCTTCCCCTTCCCCAGAAGCACAACAAATCAACCCACCTGGAGCAAGATTAAAGAGGCAAGTGAGATCGAAATACAAGTTCGATGACAGCAAGTAGTAAATATTCCTAATAACTGTAAGATTCAGTTTTTAGTGGTGGTTCTGTGTAAAAGATCCGACTTACTGTCAGCTGCTGTAAAAACGGTTCAGCATGTGCTAAGACTGGCATTCAGTTCATATCAACAATGGCATGAACACAAGCTCTAAAGAGTCTCATCCATTGGGGAAAGGGAAGATCCAGTATCGTAGACATCTGCTTAGTCACGCTGACACTGCTTGGAAGCGAAGATTGCCCAAAATAACGCCGCTTAGCATAGCCTGAAGATTGACTTGGAGACCCCGACGCAAGGGGGGGCTCCGAGAAACTCTTCGTTCCACTAGAGGTTTCACTTTTAAATTGAAAAACTCTTCCACGAGTATACTAATGCAGCGCTTCATTTCAATTGTACTTTCAGCCGTTAGCGTGCAGTGGCTGGAGGGGCAAGAGTTTAGGGAGATCAGTTTGATACCTAGAAACCAGTGAAAGGAAAACATTCACTGTTACGCTAATTTAAAACCTCAAAATAAAATGTCTAATAACCTCTAAAGCGGTGAAAATTTATGCCAGTTTCTCCCACAAAACGAGATTCTAGTACTCTCCAAGCGTTCCGACGTTAACCATCGTCGCATTTTCGCGGGGCTCGTCTCCCGAGGACCAGGCGAGAGATTGGCGAGAAACAGACGATGCCATAAGACGAGGACTTCTATGACGAACATTTTGGGTAAAATTTCTCCCTTTTATCTTTAGTTTCGATTTCGACTCAGCCGTGTTTGAGCGGCTTACATGACTGACTTACGTAAAGCAAATGATTAGCGTGCAAATATGCAAACAGCAGTCCGGTTTGATGGCGTGTCCAAATTCACTACCACCTCCAGGATTCCGGCCGAGTGGCAAATGCACCAGATTAACAGGATAAGATAACGAATATGAATAGGGGGAGGAAGAAGGGAGGGTCCATGACCCCTTCCCCTGTCCTACATAACGGCATGGTGTAGTGCTGATTTTATATTTCCGAAACACTATATATTTACTGAATCCAGTTGCTTCTCATTGCAATAACGCGTTAAACCCAAGAGACTTCTGTACGTAATTTTGGTGAAAAACTAAATGTAAACTACTGTACTTGGGTTGACACGATTACTGAGAAGTGAAAAGTTTACATCTTTGGCCAAAATAACTTTAAAACAATTACGATTAAAAACAAGAATAAGCGAACATTCTTTGGCTAGCCTTTAGACGGGTTTGTCGAGATCCCTGCCTAGGGGTGCCACCCTACTCCTACTGGGTGGCCCAGGCTACTTTTGAAAATATTATATTGCAAGCGCGACGTCTAATCAGGCCTATGCAGGAGAGCAGTTAAGGTTTGTAGAAAACGGATCAAAACCGAATTTTAATGTCTCTTAAACAATCAAAAAATTACCAAATTAAGTTGATCGCGGTGTGCGAAATTGCTTAAATCTAACTTTGCAAATTAAAAAATTGCAGCCTTAGCTTTATTTATGGAAAAGGTCACTTTGAAAGCAAACACGTAGCACCGATTTAAATGATGTAACAGAATGGCATATTGCTTCATCTAATGAGCGGTAAGCTTAAATTTCCCCCGTTTACTAAGTTAGTTTAGTTTCGATTTCCTGTCACTGCATGTCTTGTAGAGGGCTGATTGCATTGTTTGCCTCAGAACCAAATGACGTAAGCACTTTTGAACAAATTAAGTTGGGCATTTAAACAAAGGTTCAAAGGTTGTATTTTCAACGTTTCTGAAAATATAAGAAGAGAGTTAATCTTTCAGTTACCGCGGAAGGCAATAATTACGAAACTGAGCGAATTTCAAGAGCTCATTTGACTGAAAGCATTTGGATTTAAATTGGTGGTGATTAATTTAGTTAGATTTATAAAGCGTCATCACTCTTTAATAACAATTCTTGGTTCAGTGATAACTGTTAGAGTACTAGCTTCTGCATAATTATCACAGTTATCTGGTTTAGATTGAGTGCTCAGCTGATTTGAGAACGGGGTTCTCGGTTTCGAAAGGCGACAGATTCGTAGGAATGTATGGTACAAATATGTAGCATATATTATCATGCTGGCAAAGAACAAAACAATATCTTATTCGACAGTTTACTGCAGTTTACTGCAATATACTTGTGTTCTACTTGTGGTATACTTGTACAAGTCTGGCAATATTTTTAACGACCCCGTAATAGACACTACACTCACTTTAATGTCTCACAGGTTTATAATTCAACAGGTTTTTACCCAAGTCCCTAGGAGCAAGAGGACGAAACAATCTCTTACCGCAAAGATATCACGAGAAAGTATTTGTACACGTTCCGTGAGTTCTTTGTATTCTACACCATATACTTTCACGGATAACTAATCATTATTAACTTATTTATGAAATATGTGAACAATTCCAAAAACCGGGCAAATCGACTTGCTTTCTTATGCGAGCAGAAGTAGTCTGCCTTTTGCAAATACACGCTCGAAAACCAGAGATATAGGAATTAAAATCTTTAATTTGCTCAACAACACTATAGAAGACGGTACCAGTTCGGAGTTAAACAAAATTTATTCTTAATAAATTGATAGAGGTACGTTACTTCCTACAAACAAATGAAAGAAAATTTAAAAAACTGTTTTAATCAATAAAAGCTACAAGAGGTATAACTGAAAATAAACTTATTCTAAGGAACAAAGTAAAATTCAAGAGCGAAATGGGGATACTTATAGCTAAAAATATAAGTTTTGTTCATTGTCTATACACTTTTATTGGGATTGCGTGTTGTTATTGATCAGCATAAATCATTCTTTTGTTGTTTGGTTTCGTTAACCGGTTATCCGGTCCATTGACAATTAATGAGCGATACGTAACTGAATCGAGAGTATAAACATGAACTTATTTTTAGTTGTTGTGTGACAAACCCCACAGAAAAAAGTATATATAAATCGCAGTTCTACGGGAAGTATCCTCACTCACTAGCGAGTTTCAGAACAATAACCTGGACTTCAACACGAACTGAATTAGCGAACAACGATGTTCAGCTTGCTAACTCTGGTAAAGTTTGTGATTTAGTATATGTTATTTCACTTCAATTTTGTCTAGGAAAGAGTTAATTCACTTCTTGAGTTAGGAAAATATATTTATTCGGTCAGTACTATAAACTAAGAGACATTTTTCTAACGGCTTCTTGAAAAGGAAATGGGTTGCATTTCTTTTCAGTTTTGGTTATCTCGCTTAAATTATTCAAAAGTTTTTGACTAATGGTGACTTATTGCCTATTGCGCAGAAATGTTTTTAACATGATTTTTCTGTTCAGCATAAATTACGCGTTCTTAGCTTGCGAGAATTTGATCAGTCTATAGACACGTGTGCACTACGTCGTTATTCCTGCGACGATCAATTTATTGATTTTCATCAACTTTTTAACAGAATTTGTTATAAAAGAATAATGAGAAATGGGAATTAATCAAAGCTTTATTTCTTTGTCAAAAGATAAGGAAATTACCAAAGACACGCGTTGCTATTTTTCACTTAAAAATTTGTCTCTATATAACAGGTTTTCGATCATCCTGACTTCATGGTCCTGTTTGTCCTATTTTTTGGCTGCAGTCAACAAGTGGACGCAACACCTAAGGAAGTTAATCTGTTTCCGTTATTCTCTGACACTGAAGAAACTCCCAGGATCACGAGGATTACGAGGATCACGAGCGTCACGCAACCAGAAGTGAACCGCGACGCAGGAGCACAGAAGGAAATGGTCAGTGGCGGATCGTCATCGAACCAGGAAGAAATTACCAACAGCAAAAACATAACAACACGAATTTTTCCGCGGAAAGGAGTAAAACGCAATAATTGTATAAAGAAATTCGTTTATCGCGTAATTTATAATTATTTTTTCGCAATTCCAGTTTGCAAAAAACGCAAGGGCTGTCGAGAGAAATTCATGTCAGTGAACTTTTCAAACGGCGAGACTTCAGCAATAAGGTACGACTGTTACAAATGATATCAGGCTTGTTTTGACAGTATTTATTATTATATTTATTCTATAATACTGACGTGGGTGAATAAGTTAGAGAAAGAGGGTGGAACCTAACGCGCCATC